AGTCAAATGAGGGGGGGGGTGGTCTAGTGGGGGATGGGGGCAGAGGATGCTGTGTGTGCAGTCAGCAAAAGAAAAAAAAATGGTGGCAGGTCATGAATTTTGCTTTGCAAGTGGCTGCTAAAAAAGACGAGGATGAAAAGCGCATCTGATAGAAGAGCAATGATGGTGTTAAAGCCTGACGCTGCCGAAACACACCGCTGGATACCTGGTGTGTGTGTGTGTGTGTGTGTGTGTGTGAGCGGCTCTCATCACTGTCTGCACTAGCGGCAGGGGCGTGTCTAGACTTTTTTTTTTCTTGGGGGCGGGGAGGGAGCGAACTGTAGAAGGATGGAAAACTAAAGTGGGAATTTCATCTAAATGCACTGCAGGCTCAGATTACAACGACCAGTGGGGTCAAAACATGAACAACTATTTATTCACCCAAACAAAACACGGATCTGTTCAGCGTGTGAAAACTGTGCAGCAGTTCTGTTTGGTGCAGCGTCTTATGGCACATGCTAACTTTTCTAGCCATACAATTAGCCTGTTTAGCTTAGCGTAGCTTAACCATGTATATACGTCTCTATTTTTACTGTTATGTTAACTCTATTCAACTTTTCACATTTAAACGGAAAATTATTGAACCATTACAAATTAACCACACAATACAAACACCTATCTAATTACCCCCTTTTCTCCATTATGAAGAGGGTAGTTTTTAGCCTCATGGCTCTCTTTCTTATTATTAAACATAATATGCATCAACCTGTCAATGGGGCGAGAGTTGAAAAATAGCAGCTTGTCTGTAATTAAAAGCTTTTTAATACGTAATGTAACATTTTAAAAAGAAATAAATGTGAAACTATCAAGAACACGGCATTTTGTGAACAAAACGTTAATCTACGTACGATAAGAAACGAACATCTGGGGTGGCCAATCAGATTTCAAGAATAACCGGCGCACCTCCCTCAGCCATCCCTGTGGCCACGCCCCTGGGAAATAAAATCCTGGTGTAGATCTACGATGACGCGTTAGTTCAATTGTAGATAAAAATAAAAAAAATAAAACTTTGAGATTAATCTCAGAAAATTTCTATTAAAAAACAGAACTTGGTCACTTTTTACTTTGACCGTTTTTCTCTAAGCCTTCTGAGCTATTTTTCTAGCAAATTTACAAGTTTCGAAACTCAAATTTCAACCTTTTATATTGGAAAATTTCTGAGATTAATCTCAAAATTTCCATTTTTTTGAGTTTTCAAACTTGCACATTTCCTTGTTTTTTCTAGAAACTTTCAGATATTTTTTTGTGGAAATTTACAATGACCCCAATACACTGTCATAAGTCATCTTAATGGAGCTTTTTAGTGGCTTTGATTTGTGTCATTATGAATCTGGTCTGTATGGCAGGCGGGTTTAAACCCTTTTATTGCACTAATTAGCTTAATGAAATGAAGAAAGGAACAATGCAGAGAAAGTTTCTCATCCGGTTTTTTCCAAGTTAATTGCACATAGATGCAGAGGCTCCTCAGTCTGCTCCGGGTACCAGATGGGCGAGCCTGATGCGAGCCGATTATTCCGGAAATGTCAGAAAAAAGAGGAAAAAAATCCCAGAAGAACCTGCAAAAAGTTTACTTGCAAATATATCAGTGACATTCATCATGTTTTATTCTGAAAAACACTTTGAATTATTTAATGACTCTGCTTCAAGTTACTAAATATAATTATTCCTTCCATGTCATCTGTCAGCATAGCACGTGGAATATTATTTTTTGCTTTTAATTTGCTTTAGATAAACACCACAGGACTTTTAAAAGTATCTCATTCAGTACCTCACGAATCAACAGCAGACAATGTCTCCCTCTTGTGGTTTGCAGCAGGAATGGCAATTAAAGGAAGCGCATCATAAAAGTTTCATTAGGTCTACACAATTTGGGATTTTTCCATCACTAAAACTTTTGAAACACTTAAATATGTGACTTTAAAAAAAACAAAAACATTCTGCTCCAACACCATGTGTTCTGAATGAAACAAAAATCTTTAAAATATTTTAAATCATAACATCACACTTAAATGTTTCAGATAAAACAAAGTTTTAAGATCGAATTTAAGCAGATACAAAATGCCACCAAAAAAAAACAAAAAAAACAAAGCAGTCTCAAGAGTACATGAGTAGACTGTGAGAACGCTTCTACAGACATGTTCCACAACACATCAGGGGACATTCATGACCACTGGACACATTGTGCAGCATGTTTGTCTTGTTTGCTTCAGAGTTTAATACTAAAGTTGAACAATTCATAAAAATGTTTTTTTACACAAAGTCACTCTTAGATAATGAGATGTTAGTCTGGTCAGTTCTGTTGATTTTGAGTTGTTTTATGGCCCGTTGTCACTTTAAATCCATATAAGCTGCTGGCCACGCCCCCCCAACTCAACGTTTACACTCACATGTGAAAATAGTTACAAACAGATGTGCAATTATATAACCGTACATCAATGAAAAGCAGAACAAACAAGAATGCAGCATGTGGTTTCTGGATGGTAAGTCAACAGTAAAACACTTGTACTTTCCAGCAGCCATTGTACAGCACATACAGCAGCAAAACTAGCCAACTAGAACTAGAACTCCACTTGGGTTGCTAGGTGACGTTCTGAGCTTTGCTGGGGTTGCTAGGTACAGGGCGATTCCTGCTGATTTGCAATGTTACATTCATAAAGATTTTGAAACGCTTCACTTTCCAGACACCAAGAAGCAGTAGAAGCCCAAATGAAAGTACAAAAACGTGTAAAATGTCAATTTTGCATAATACGTCCCCTTTAACAGTAAAAACCTAATAAATTGTCAACAGTTCAAATGAAAGATTTTGTATGATTGTAATTCCTTACCTGAATCATACAGCGACTGAACGTCAAGCTTCTTCATCTTGGCCAAACCTCAAATTGCGCAAGAATGATCAAGAGAAACTCGACAAAGATTGTGTACACTTTTATTATCGTCTTCCCTCGTTAGATAAAAGCTTATGCAGAGGAGCGCAGTAATAAGAAACCGCTGCAGCTTTGGGGGATTCCTGTCCAAAGCTGGACAGCAGAACTGAGGAGGTGACTGGACACTGACAACACAGGACGAAGCCCAATGCCGTAAATGCTACATGACACACAACACCGTTCAGAAGAGAAACAGTCCCATTCACTGGCTGCTGTCAGCCAGGAAATCACTCCTAGAAACAGTCATTCTGAGGTAAGCTTGAGGTGGCTAGTGTTGAACGGAGCAAATAAACCTACTCTCTGCTCTGGGCATCCGTAGATCAGCTCTATCTGGCATAGCTTTGGCATTAGGAGGCAACAATGGTGGCTTCCTTTGACAATAAAGTATCGGTTGTTCATTACATGAACAATTAGATTCGACTCCTGCGGCCTTGGGTATGGAAATATGACAGTATAACTAAAATAATACACACCCCCAGTGAGGTTTTGAGGGATTAGTTAGAGTGAGGTCCACTTTGAAGTGCAGCTTTGCACAAAATGTACAGGAGCTTAGAAGCTTTAGCTTATCCCAGTAAGAGAGGAAAAGGTGCCTGAAGCCTTCCTGGAGAAGCAACAAGCGAGTCAGCGTTTCTGAAACGATATACATATGATATACAATATACATTTGATGTTGATACATCAAAATAAGTACGATTACATATTATTATGTAACCAAGCTAGCCTCTTTGGCTAGACTCTGACATGAGATTAAACAGCACCAATGAGTTTAACAAAAAAAAAAAACATTCTGTTGTAGGTGTGTAAGGTCTAGAGATGCACTGATCAGGATTCTGTGGCCCATTTCAAACCAGCTTTGAAGCCCATTAAATCAGAGACATATGTATTCTGTTACTGTGTGAAGGTGGAATTATCCCAAAGTTTACCTTTCTAAACTAGCTGTAGCATCTTATATTAGCGGTAAGTTTGCTAGCATTACTGAAACAGCAGCCTGTGTGTTTTCCATGAATGTGTAAATTCTTACCTTAGAGGCTCTCCTACTCTCAACAAAGTTAGAAGTAACAAACTTAAAAGAGGTACTTTGAAAAAAGACAATAACACTTCATTCAATAAAGTCAAACTCATAAAACTAAAATAAAAGGCAAGTAATGAGGCAGTTAAATAAGATAAATAAGTCACCATCAATAGTCTCCATTGAGCTCAATATTTGGGTCATTATTGCTTGTGTCGCTTATGTGATTAAGTTGTTTTGGTCAAACGTCTAAAGGTTGAATTTCTGTAAAGCCGCCTTGGGAAACAAGACAGCAGGACTCCCAGGTGTTTTTTTTTTTTTTTAGTTTGGCGTACACCACTCTATTCAGCCTTCCTGTTATCTGCTCAAAATCTTGCTCTCTCACGCGGCCTGATTAATATGCAGATATGTCTCAAAATTTCATAGAAGACACTAACTTTATGACTAACAAAAAAAATAATTGAGTGTTCTTCCCACAGTGACAACATCCACACAGAAGAGTGTGGCTGTATGCTCCACCTGCTGTTGGTTACATGTAGTGGTGGTTGTTTTGGACTGATTGTTGAAAATTGTTTGATTAGAGTCAGCAGTTGACTTCTCGGAGCATCTCTAGTCCAGGACACCATGAAATCAAAAAAGTATAAATAACACCGTTTTCTTTAAACACAATTTTGATTGAAAAAAAAAAAAAACACATAATAAAAGGAAAGGTGGTGCAATTTGTCACTTTGGGATTACCTGAGACGCCAGTTATCCCTCTGGGTTGTACAGATTTAGTATCGGCACCACGTGCTGATTGACCAGGCAAAGACATCCCAGCACCAACAAGACGGCGTTTTTTTTTTTTTTTTGTCTTTTCTGTTTCATTAAAAGACAGAAGCCGCACTCTCCACAACAGCCAATCAAAACCTGACCTGCAGGCTCAGCTTGTTCCACTCAGCAGTCGCACGCTGGAGTAAACCAAACGCAGCAAAAGAAAAACAGGAAAAACAGCTTATGTTGAAATGGTGAGGCGTCCTTTACATAATACTCCCCTCACAGGATTTAGGCATTTTGATACCATCTTGGAATGCACTATATATTGATATATATACCATAGACCTTATATACCTCTACGTAGACTGTATATTGCCATTATTATAAGCAAGATTACTGTTGATAAATGCAGTGGCCTCCTCACCTGAGGCACCTCAGAGGGCTTCAACCAACCCCCACCCCCATCCTTCCATTGGCCCAGAAGGGTCCACCCGCGGGTGGAGCAGGAGGCATTTTACTGTTCTGTTTCAGACTGAATCAAATTCAGACATGGCGATTGAAAGTCTGGCTGGGTTTAGTCACTCCTCGTCCACCGACTCCCTTTTTGAATCCTCGTCCTTCTGTTCCGCCCCCTGAGGGCCGGGGCTCAGCGGGGCCGCTGCCACTGCCACCTCCCCAGTGATCAGCGAGGAGCCATCTTGTTGGTCAACGATTTTCTGGGAAGAGGCGTCCTCCTGTGAGAGGCAGAGGGGTAATGAGATGGCCATTCTGCCTACACAGCAGCTCAGAAAATGTCGGTCGGCTTGTTAAAGCCATCAAAACGGCGGCTTTAAGATTTCCGGAGTGTGTTTGTGTGGCGCTGCCTGCTGTTAGCTCGTTCTGCTGCTGCTGCTGCTACACACCGACTCTCACAGAGCAGATCACTGCTAACACAAAGGGCAGAGCGGGAACCGCTGAGGTCCAACAGTGTTAACATATGAGGGAGCTCAGGTGCAACTCTAAAGATTTAAACGCAACATCAGACAACGCAACAGGAATCAACTTTCTCTCATTTTATGTGTCAAACAAAAACTTCAGTGGATCCTTTTGGTAGATTTTACGTGGCAAACTTAAAGACCAACATAACCGACACGTGGAAGGAGGAGGAAACCTTATATTAAAACTAGTTACAACCTAATTTAGCTCTGGACTTTGACTAGCCCATTCAAAAACATGCATCTTAACTCTAGATGTACGGTCAGGGTCATTGGTCTACTGGAAGGGGAAACTCCAATCCACTTTCAAGTAGAACAGATTTTCAGGTACTGTACTACAAAGCTACAAGTACTGAATGCAGGAAATGATCAAATATTTTTTCAGAATGGGGCATTTCTATTTATAATACATGTTATTAAAATAAATTGTTAAATTGAAGTTAGTATTTTACTTTTCTGAGTCACTGAATGTTTTGGCTGATTTATCTGCGAGCCATGAGCATCAAAAGTACAAGAAAAAACCTTGAAATATTTCAATATATGTCTGATGAATCAACAAAATGTAAGAGCTTCATTTTCTGAAATCACTGAAAAAAATGTATTGAATCTGGTTAGAGCCTTCCCAAATAAAGAACAAGTCTGTGGTTGTAAAAATGTAGAGAGGAAATCAATAGTTTTGGATGACAGTGTAGGGAAAAGGTTACGCTGGTGATTCTGTGTTTGTGACCGTTCACCACACACTGTGCACCAAGTGGCTCCACGTTCGTTCATGTACCTGCTCTGAGAACCGATGAGTCACCTGATCTACAAACTCTTGCAGCTCTCCCTCTTCGCCATTTGAGTGGCAGCTCGGACTTGGCACCTCAATCCCATGGCTTTCCAAGATGGCGGCTTCTGGTTGAGACAAAACAGGACGGAGCAGAGATTGAGCACTCACAACCCGTTTCCACTGAAGGTTTTTGAACTGGTTCTGCTGCCTTCAAACCTCGGTGCCTCGTTGAGAGCTGACGCCGTTTCCACCAGTTTGTGGAAGCGAGCATGTGTTGAAAACAGCGGGAATTACACAACGCGGTAGGAGAGTGTAGTCGCAAGATGTCGGGTTCAATGGTTTTCATGGACTACAACAAGCAACACGGTGAATAAAAACACAGAGGAAGTTGAAGTCGGCTTTCGATTGCAAGTTCAGATTCCATAAATTCCCCCAAAAAGTTTGAAAGACTTTGCTTGTAAAATAACGTAGTCCATATTTAGGAGTTTAAGTAATGTAGTTCTTAAGCTTGAGCAAGTTTTAGACCAGAGGTTCTTAACCTTTGTGGAGGTACCGAACCCACCAGTTTCATATGCGCATTCACTGAACCCTTCTGTAGTGATAAATAAAATATGATCCCCCCACCACAAATTCAAGACGTAGGGGTGACCCAACTAGAGTCTAGTTGGGTCACCCCATGATCACTAAGTCTTCTTAAAAGGTAGAGTCTCTGAGAACAGTTCTTCAAAATATAGTCAGTTTTCAGCAAAGTTGAGCTGACTGTCCAGGAACGACCCAAGGTATTTAAAATTTGCCACAGTTTCAACAGGTTGGCCATCGAGAGAAACTGGAACCACTTTAAGATCTTGTTTAGGTCATTTAATTAGCTCTACATTCTTAAGAGAATGAAAAATTCATAATAAATAATAAAGACTTTGCGGTATTCTGATTTAGTAATGTAATTATATTAGTTGTGTTACCACCCCCACGCCACTAGAGGCAGTAGCAACCCCGAAAAGATGCGACTAAGGAGCAGATTTAGAAGTACACCGAAAGGTACAGAATTTGGTAAAAATGGTGAGTTTTGCTGAAGTAATTAAAGACACAAGTTCAAATCCATGCTGAGAGTGAAACTCCTTCAATCAGTGCTCCTCCGCAGCACTGATTGGCTCAGCAATGTAACGTGATCCTCTGCAGCAAGTGATGGCAAAGTCACGACTTTACACAGTGTGTCTTTACCTCCGTGGCAGAGGCTCCACCGAACCCCTGAGACCGACTCATCGAACCCCAGGGGTTCGACTGAACCCAGGTTAAGAACCACTGCTTTAAAGAATTAGTTTAGGAAAAACAAGATTGACCAAACTGTCGCCGTTTCCACGATAGAAAGTAGAGTTTAGATCCAGAGCCCGTCCCGAAATTTGGATTTTTTTAGGCCCCATCTAAACTCTAATCGAAAGCCGCAAACGGAAGTCAGCTTCAGTTTCTTGAAAAGTAGCTCATCTACAAAAAAGTCCAGCCTTTTGCTAATTTAACAATCCTAGACCTTTCAATTGATCATCAGCACATCACAGAGAGATGTGCCTGTGTTGAACCACAGTTTGTGCCGTGGAACCTCGTTATTTTCTGTGGAAACACTCAACAACGATTTGAAAACACATTCGGGAACCTGAACGGTTGGTGGAAAAGGCCTTGTATATGTATGTGTGTGTGCGTGAACTGTTGGCCGGCTCTTGTCAGGTCAGCCGCTCTCACCTATGTTTGCTCTTCTCTTCATCTCCTTCCGACGGTTGGCGAACCAGTTGTACACCTTCAACGCCGTCACCCGCTCAAACTCTGACAGTTTGCAGCCTGAAGCAGGAGAGCAATGAGTAAGTAGGATCAGTTTTATTCTATTTAATGGCAAAATTAACTTTTTATAATATTAAAGAAACTCATAAAGTGTTGCAAAAAAAATAAAAAAATAAATAAAACAGGAGGTCTAATATTCGTTCCTCCAAGACTCTGTAGTCATCAAGCTGAGTTTTTACTAATAATCTAAAAGCATAAAGAGACACCAGGGGGAGAAAAGATAGAGAAAAAAAATCTGTATTTATGGAAAATACCAGTAAAAGGTTGTTTTGTTTTTTTGGGATGAAGTGCCATCTAGCGGTTGACTCGACACCAACCTTTTGTAGCTCCTGGGTTATTTAGAAATCAGGACATAATAAAATGATCTAGCCTTTTAGAGGTTGTAAAATTATTTCAATTTAAATGCATATTGTAAAAAACAAAAACAAACAAAAAAAAATCCATCCAAACAAAATATTTCATCTCATTGTTTACATGACAAAAGGAAAGCCATAGGTTTCCATTTCTCACCCAGGTTTTTGGTTTTTCATAAATTATGGATCTGAGGTGTCAGATGAGCATGCTCACCAGTCAGGTCGCATGCTTTTCATATTTCTCATTAGCCACTTGAATTTCAGGATCATGACTCACTGTCCAAGATGACCGTCAGCTAAAACAGTTCTTACCATAAAACGTTCCCCATTTTCATGACTTGGATTAACTTTATGTCACATCAAATGTGTTTGACTTTGGTTCTCTTATTCATACAACTTTCAAGTAATAACATGTAGCAAAATCTGAATCTGAGGATGTTTGCGAGTCTCACACCAGCCGTCAACAGGAAGGAGATGATGTGTGTTAACGTTAGCTTCTGTGGTTTAAAAAAAAATGTGTTTAATGGTTTTGTGTTAGCTTCAGATCATTTTTTTGTGTTCAGCGGTTTAGCGTTAGATTCCACAAATTTTTTGTGTCCAGGAAAAAAATAGTAACGGAATCTACTTGTGTTTAGGATTAGCTTCTGCAAAATTGTAAGTGTTTAGCAAGTTAGCGTTAGCAGAGCTACAATTGATTTAACACCAAACACACTCATCTACTTGGTGATTTTAGTGCAAAAATTATTTTTCTATAACAGCCATGGTGGCCATCTTTAAAAAAATATCAAGAAAGCATAACTAAATATAGATATGCCAATCATTCATGATTGGCATATCTAGTGCAACAATAAATTTTCCTACATGACCATGGTGGTCATCTTGAATTTTTTTTCTGTGGCTAGCAGTTTCTTTAAAAAAAAAAAAAAAGCCCCTGGGAACATCTGTACCAAATTAGGTTCTTGTACCTGCATATGGAAGATTTTGCTGAAATATTATTATCTACTGCACTATAAACAATCTGGTAAAGACCAGATGAATTTTGTGTCATGATAAGCAAGTTATCACAAAATGATGTTTAGAAAAGTACCTGAATCCCTTCCAGAGATTAAAGCTATGAGGAGGAAGTGCATTTTCTATCCAATAAGAGGAAGCCAAAGTCTCCGTAGATAAAAGGGAAGAAAATCTAATCAAAGCAATGTTTGCGTTTATTCTCAGTAGCTCAATAATATGGTTGGAGGTGTCTGGATCTCTCGGTCTGTCGGATAAAGATGGAAAAAAAAAAATCTAAATGAGAAAATAATCTGGGTGAAAAATGACGGCCTTCCAACCTGGTTTCTGGATGACAGAAT